GTAAATCCCACTAATAATAAAGATTAATTATCACACACGTAGCACACGAAGCCCGTCTGCACTCTACGCACTACCATACAGTTCGTGAACCGGACAAGGGGCTGGAGATTGAAACACACAAAGACACACAGACAGAGACACGGGTCATCCTTGAAGCCAAAATACCCCAAGAATGCCCCCTTTATTGTGTCCAGGGGCAGCTTATATAGGGATAGCCACGCTCCAGGCAAACACACCAGAAACCACTCCCCTGCCATCAGGAACTCCTGAGGGTCTCGTCCTCAGAGCAGCTGTGAGCACTCAGATCAGGGGAAACAAGTTGTTTGCAAGAAATTCAGGATCTGGGGGTTCACTGCTCCCAACAATCACATGATTTTTAGTTAAGTCTTCTCATTATTTCATTTTTAAGGCATTTTATATATCCTATGCATAAATCTTTCATGAGAATTACGCTTTAAGAATATTTTATCCTAGTCTGTCATTTGTCTTTTCAAGTATCTTCATGTTTTTAAAAGTAAAAAATTAGCCTTTAAGGCCGGGCGGTGGTGGTGCACGCCTTTAATCCCAGTACTCAGGAAGCAGAGGCAGGTGGATCGCCATGAGTTCGAGGCCAGCCTGGTCTACAAAAGCTAGTTCCAGGACAGGCTCTAAAACTACAGTGAAACCTTGTCTCAAAAAACAAAAAACAAAACAAAACAAAAATTCGCCTTTAATCCCAGCACTCAGGAGCCAGAGGCAGGCCAACCTCTGTGAGTTAGAGGCCAACCTGGTCTACACAGTGTTCTAACACAACCAGGGTTACATAAAGAGAATCTGGATTTATTGTTATTATTACTATAATTATTATTAATTTTCATTTTATGTGTGCGGGTGTTTGCCTGCATTTATCTCTGTATACCATATCATGCAGTGTCTGCGGAAGTCAGAAGAGGGCACTGGATCCCCTGGAACTTGAGTTAAAGTGGCCAGCTGTCATACAGGTGCTGAGGATACAACCAGGGTCCTCTGTAAATACAGCCAGCGCTGACTTCAGAGCTCTCTGCTGTGGAATAATCCTTACACAATGCAAATGTGCTGCTCTCATTGTTAATAAAAGCTGACTGGCCAATAGCTGGACAGTTTCCTCTGGAACCTGCATTGGATCCCCTGGAACTGAAGTAACAATTGATTGTGAGCCACCGTGCACACACTGGGAATTGAACCCAGGTCCTCTGCAAGAATAACAAGTGTTCATAACCACTGAGCCATCTCTCCAGTCCTGAGCACCATTATAAATGCCAGGAGTGCCAGGCAGTGGTGGCACACTCTTTTAATCACAGTACTTGAGAGGCTGAGGCAGGCGGATCTCTGTGGGTTCCAGGCCAGCCTGGTCTACAAAGAGAGTTCCAGGACAGTCAAGGTCTCGAAAAACCAAAATAAAAAATAAATGCCAGGAATTTAGCAGTGAGGAGGGAAAGAATTCCAGGTGTGGGGCTTAGTGGCACATACTCTGTTTCAGCCTTGGGAGACAGAGGCTGGAGGATTACCACGTGCTGGATGGAAGGAAGCCCGGGCTACTTAGGGAAATCCTATCTCAAGAAAGTGTTGGTAAGATGGCTCAATAGGCAAAAACACTTACATTGCAAGCCTGGAAACCTGAGTTCAAATCTGTACTACCTATGTAAAAGTTAGACATAGCCGCCTGTGTTTGCAATACCAGCATCTTAGTGGGGCAGAGACAGGTGGATCCTGGGAGCTCCCCGCAGACTAGCCAAAACAGCAAGCTCCGGGTTCAGGAAAAAAACCCAGTCTTCTGCAATAAGGCAGAAAACAGTGGAAGACACTGTCCGCACACGTCACACATACAAGGAAGAGGAAGAGGAGGAGGAAGATCAAGAATTCCAGCTCACCCAGGGCTTACCTTTAACTGAGAAGATAAGCAAGCCAAACACTTGTGTGTGCCCTGGTGATAAGTACAAGGGAAGAAGAAAAAAATGTAGGGAAGAGAATCAGATGGCCTGAGGAAGTGAGCTGTAGGTGGCGGATCCTTCAACAAGACCTATCAGGAAGTGGAAGTGATGCTTGCTGAGATGGGAACAGGGCAGGGTCTAGGCAGAGGGGGAAGAACAAATTCTTTGAGGTCTGACTGTGGGATGTAGCTCCTGGGAGAGCCCATGAGAGCTGAAACAGCACAGTAAACAAATTCCTTAAAGTGGCAGGCAGGCCAGGAGTGCTCTAGGAACTGGGGAGGCAGTAATGCCAGCGGATGGGGCTCCATGCTAGAGTGCTTGGTGTGATGACGCGCAGATCCTGGTTTCCGATGAGTCTGAGCATTAAAAAATAAAACATAGGAAAAAAGGAGAAGGAGGAAGGGAGAACAAGAGAGCAAGGAAAAGAGAGAGGAGAGGAGGCCATGAGGTAGTCCAAGAAGGGCCTTGGCGTTACTGTATAGACCGGCATTGAGTCTGAGTGACTTGTGCAGCCGAGAGAGAGAAGGCCAGCCATCAACCTCAGCGGTCTTCCTGGACTGCTCTCTGTCATGCCCAGATTACAGAGTCCCCCCCCCACAAAAACAACTAGGAGACCGAGTTCTGTACGTAAAATCAAAGAGCCTTCATTCTTACACAAGTTTGCAAACTCGGACTCTCCATGTGTCCAACGTATAGGAGTGATTAGAGAGCCCCAAACTCAGTTGGGGTTGGGCTTTTATAGTAGTAAAGATAGGAGTGAGGGATTTCTAAGGTTCAGGACCCCTGGTTGGCTAACATTTGTCTAGCGGTGTCCTTATGAATAGTGACAGGTGCGTGCTGGCAGGTGATCCTATCTACAATGGTTAGAATGTCAGGAATTTCCTTTGGATGGTCTGTTCCTGGGTGGTGCCATCTTATGGCTTTTCCTGGAACCCGGTGCCGGCTGCTATGGCAGCTGTGCAGCCTGAGCCCCACATGTGGTCAGGCTGCCGTGGGCCTCACACTCTCCACCTTATTTTTTGAAACAAGGTCTCTCATGAACTCTGAAGCTCATGAATATCTGGCCAGCAAGCCCCTAGATCTTCCTGTCTCCCCAGCTCTGGGATGACAGGCATGGCCTGCCAGGCCAGGCTTTTTATGTGGAGGCTGTGGATCTGAACTCAGACCTTTGTGCACTGTACCCACTGAGCCAGCCACCACTACTGAAAGACTGAGCAGTGGGATATAACCTGATGACATTTCAGAAGTTGAAAAGGGCAGAGTCAGCCACAAGCGCAGTTCAAACTGACAGAGATAAGATAGGCAGGAAATGGTGGTGCTTGAGATCAAGATGGCAGGATGGAGGGTAAGGTGTGGAAAGATTCCACACTGATTTGCTGGTGGCATTGAATGTGGAAGGATTGGGAGACAAGGGTCAAGAAAGAATTCAAGATCTGAGCCTTAAGTACCTGGTAAGATAGTTAGATACCTCCTGAGTCTGAAAAAGAAGGAGTCAGACCTTATTAAGTTTAAGATGTTGTGAAGCTGTGAGGATGGTTAGGCACTGTGTGGAGTCATTGAAGTTGGAGATGTGAGGTTAGGGAGGCAGCATTTAAAGATATAAGACGGAGTATTGTCAAGGCAACAAGAGCAAGAAGAGGAGACACTTCAGCACATGGAAGGACAGAAGGAAGACAAAGAGAAGAGCTGAGAAAGCTGCAGGAGAAGGGACAGGAGAGGACAGTGGGGGGGACAGGAGAGGACAGTGAGGAGGGGGGACAGGAGAGGACAGTGAGGAGGGGGGACAGGAGAGGACAGTGAGGGGGGACAGGAGAGGACAGTGAGGGGAGACAGGAGAGGACAGTGGGGGGACAGGAGAGGACAGTGAGGGGAGACAGGAGAGGGTGAGCCCTGGGAGCCACGTGAAGAAGTGAATAGTCGATTGTGCCAACTGCTGCTGACAGGTGACACAGACTGAGCCTGAGAAGCGGCTGTAGGCTTTGGCAGGGACAGGCTGAGGCTGGCAAAGCTGGGCTCTTTATTTAGGGAGGTGTGAGGAGGAACTAGGACAGGGGCTTCGTGCCTCTCCCAGGGGCTTTGCCCTTCTGCTTAAGGCTTGCTTCTTCATGTGTGGATTCTTCTGCCTAGAATACAACTTCCATCCCTCTTTACTGATCGCCACACACTGAATCCTAATCTTAGGAAACCTTCCCATTCAGGCCACCTCCTCACACTTCCAGGCGCCTGCTCCCTTTCCGGACTGGAGTAGGCCCGGTGATACTTCCCTTGGGTGTGTATGGTGGTACAGACAGCATCTTTGTCTATCTGTGGACCTTTGCTTAGAGAAACTGTGTCCTTTTAGCTGTGAGTGCATCACCTAGCATGTGCCACAGCCAAGAAGAAAGATGCTGGGAAAGGGAGCGCTCGGGCACTGGTATGAGGGGAACTGAGTTTGAGGGCCAGGGATGAGATCCCAAGGGGAGACAGGAGACACTGAGGAGAAGTCAGTCCTCACTGTGAGGAGGGAGAGGAGGGAAAGAGGGGAAACTGGCTCAGACATACCTGATGACAGGGATGAGGACCAGGCCGCTGTCCAGAAATCCTGCCTGTTTACACTGCTGTTTCCAGCCACGCATGGGTGGATTCTGTGATTAGAGACTGGGACAGCCACGGGGCCAAGGCTGTGGAATGGCAATCGTGTCTGGCTCTCATGCTTGTTTGGGGGAGACAGGCGGATGCCATCCAAAGCTCATTTTAAAAAGTGATAGGGACATAGATAAAATGGTGACCCTCAAAGGAAGACTAGGAAGCCGATTTGTAGTAACCCGTTGTCTGGAGCTAGCTAGTCCCCACCCTAGACTCCCTTATCTCAGGACACTCCCTCCCGCCACTGTTTATTCCTTTCAAAGCATTGATCATCAAAGCTGGCTGTTTGCAAATTTCTTTTCTGCTTATCACCCGCCCTGCCCTCCCTGTAGTCGTTTGAGTCCCCTGAGGACAGGAACTTGGTACTTAAGTCGCGCCCCTCCCAGGCAGAGGGCCCAAATGCTTATCTAGAAAGTGTCCAGATACCTGCAGCTTGGGGGAATACAGTCTGCCACCGTGTTTAAACCCGACAGCGCTGCAAGTTTTCATGTCGGCTTCTGCAATGCTGGGATTCAAACCCAGGGGGCTCCTGTACACTCGGGAAGCACCTGACCACAGCGACAGTCGCAGCCTGGACCGAAGCCTGGAACACAGTGTTTGAACCGGAAGTGTGAGTCAGGGTGTGTGCGGGGGCCACACTCTCTCAAAAGATCTGGGAAACACTCTGTTCCAAGTCTCTCTCTTCTAGTATTTGCTGGAAAATCCTGATCCTTAACCTACTCTGGCTCACAGATCCGACTTCAGCCTCCTTCACAAACTATTCATGCGTGCTCATCTCCTCTTCCTCTGAGGAGCCCTGCCACGTTGGATTGAGGGCCAGCCCACTCTTGTATGACCCTATACCCAATTAAGGGTATATTCCAAGGCACTGAAGCTAAGACTTGATATCCTTCGTCAGAGAGCTGGTTCAGAGGGTGAGCGAACTTGTTGCTCTTCCAGAGGACCCAACCCAAGTTCAGTTCCCAGCATCCACACCAAGCAGTTACCACCTAGAACTCCAGCTCCAGGAGCTACAATGCCTCTACCCTCGACAGGCAGCTGCTCTCACACACACACACACGCACCAGCTCACAAACACACACCCCTACCCATAATTAAAACATTAAAAATCTGCTTTAAAATTTTATATCCCTTGCAGGGGTTACAATTCCACCTATATATAACCATCATCCCTCCAGGGAACTGGCCGTAGCCTATACATGATCTTCTTGGCTCACTTGCTGCACTATACTGGAGTTCACGCGTTTGTGTGTTTTGAAGCAGGTTCTCACTATATAAGCCTTGCTGGCCCGCGACTCAGAGAGTCACCTGTCCCTGCTTCCCCAGTGCCGAGTTGAAAGATGTCTCCCACAGTGAGGGTAAGTGCTAGGGTTGCTTTTAAATTCTCTATTGCACCAGGAAAAACAAAGGGACTTAATCAGTCGGGCCAATTCAGCTGCACGGTTAGCAGGGAGAATTCTTGGACTAGTGATGTGGGACATGGGCAGCAGAACAAGCAGGGCATGGTGGACTTCCTGGGTGGAGGCCCAGGGCTTCCCAACACCAGTGCACGCAAAGCGCTGGCAGAGCCACGACAACACCAATTCCGGTTCTGTGAGTTGAGGCTAGACCTTGGACTCTTCTGCATTTCAGAGCTTTTTTTTATTTTTTAACAATTTATTTCTTTTTATTTCATGTGCCTGCATGGATGTTTGTGTGAGGGTGTCAGATCCCCTGGAACTGGAGTTACAGACAGCTACGAGCTGCCATGTGGATGCTGGGAACTGAACCCGGATCCTCTGGAAGACCACTGAGCCATTCTGCATTTCTAACACGCTCCTGGGGCTTGCAGCTAGTGCTACGTCTGGAACCACCCTTCATCAGGGTAAAAACCAAGTCTTTGTGTCACTGACAGCTGGCTGAGAGGTGGTGGCGTGCACGCCTTTAGTCCCAGCACCTGGGAGGCAGAGGCAGGCCAGTCTCTGTGAGTTCAAGGCCAGCCTGGTCTACAGAGTGACAGCAAGTACTACACGGAAAAACCCTGTCTTGGAAAACCAAACAAAAAAAAAAAAAACAGAACAGCGGAACGACTGGTATTTTCTTCCTTTGAAAAGCCCTTCTGTCAGGTCTGTCTGACCAACACAGGTAACCTAAAAGTTCCTCTCTATTGCCCACCTGTTTGTTTAGGGAGGGGAGTTGCTCCCTCCCTGCATACCAGAGGTCTTAGCTGAGGCCTCAGCTCTGTGGAGTTAAGAAGGGGCAGGCCTGAGGAGGAAGCCGATTAATCCTCTCTCCTCCCTCTCCTGCTGGTCCAAGGGGCTTCCTGAAAGGAAATGCATCTGTCTGCGTGCCTCAGAGGGCAGCAGGGGATAAGGCCCAGCACGTACTGAGGTTGGAGGTAGGGATGCCATTTAGCAACCTTGGCTTTTGGTACTCCTTCTAATTAATCATCTCCAAGTCGTGACCATCCCAGGCACAGCCCCAGACCCTGAGGTCAGCTCTCCATCAAAGGCGACCAAAAGGCTGAGGAAGTAAATGCTTGGCTCCAGCTGCTCTGGAGGCCCATACAAGAAAGTCAGAAGATCCTGTCGCATACCTAAGCACATGGACAGGGTCATCTGAGAGTGACATGGTATTTCTGAAGTGGGTGGCAGGAGGGGTGAACAACCACAGCCCTACATTTCCACACTCTCTGCATGCACAGCCCATGAAAACCTGGACAGAGCCACTTCAGAGACACTGGTTTCTTAAAGAAACAGGAATCTGGGACTGGGGGATATGGTCATTGGTAGGGTGACTGCAAAGCATGCCACTTGAGGCCCTGAGTTCTACCTCCAATGAGACACACACTCACACAATCCCATACGTCTGCATGCTCCAGCTGTTATGTGGCAAGAGGAACAAGCACACTGTCAGTTTTCTACAAAAGGCTGGGATGGCAGCTACAGCTTTGCAGGGAAGTGGGAGGGAAGGCAGCAAGAGAGACAGGGCTGGTCAGAGAGACAAAAAAAAAAAAAAACGGCTGAGGGGAAGAGACACACCTTCTCCACTGAGAACTTTGGGGAAATTTTATCTTCCAGATCTTCCCTGCACACGGGGCTTTCTCTCTTGACCTTGGCGACCAGCCACAAGGAACAGGAATGGGAGGGTGAGCCAAGCTCCAGAAGCTGATGAGGATGAAGTCCAGGGGGCTCCAGCCAAGCTCACCATTGGTCCTGCTGCACCCGTGCCCATGAGGGACCCGAGTGAATGCGGAGCCGAGTGACTGGAAGATGCACAGAGATACAGCTGGAGGAGAGCTGGGAAGAGATACCTAAGATGAGGCAGAGAATTCATGACAGAGCATGGCCCAGATCCTCTGCCCCTGGGGGGGGGGGGGGGGTTGTAGAGAGAAACAGGCTGGACCAACACAGGACATAGCAGATGGCCTTTGAGCTGACCTAATTCTTCTCTACTGAATGAAGAGTTGGGCTAAATGCCCAGGCCCTGAGGTCTGACTCCAGCAGGCTCCAGGAACGGAATAGGAAAACGTCTACGCACAGTCTGTGCATGCCTTAATTCATACAAATACACACGTTTACGTTCAGAGCCTCGGCCTTAGAGGTGGTCTTAGAACCACAGGGCGGCTGAGCACATCTGGAAAACTTACAATAGCTCTGTGCATTTGATCAAGCGGCTGCTTTTTTCTTGTCCATGCTGGCTGGGGACAAAACTCGGGGTCTTGCCCATCGGAGGCAAAGTAGGCAAGTACAAGACTGCTGAGCTGAGGGACACCCAGCTTTGAGAGAATGACTTAACCTCTGAAGATCACATGTTCCCCTGCTGAACTGTGTTGGGGGAACCTAGTGAAGCACCTCCACTCACAGCCTCCTATACATAAACAACCAACAAAACAAACAAAAACCAAGAAAACCCACTTATTAAGTGAGATGTGTTTTAAGTATTTACTTAGAAACATTTCTAACACGCCCCTTCAAACCCAGCACTCGGAAGGCAAATGCAAGCAGATCTCTGGGAGCTCCAGACCAGTGTGGTCTTTATAGCAAGTTCCCGAACAGCCAGGGCTATATAGTGGGACCCTCTCTCAAAATCAAACAAAACCAAGGGCTAACGATGTAACTCTGGGCAGAGTACCTGCCTATCATGAGAAAAGTCCTGCATTTGTCCTGGGTTTATGTACATGCACACAAAGACACAGCTTCAAAACACTATCTGGAGAAAACAGGTAGAAAGCATCGATGGCGGACAAAGTAAAACAGTAACGCCTACCCTCGCCTAGGAGAGAAGTTCTGAGATCTGCTAATGTCTTAAAGCAACTTGTTGTGCCTCCCTCCAATGTACAATTGCATAATGTACCCACCCAAGTCACTAATGTACCAGATATAGATATATATTTAACCATGCATATAAGTCTGCGACACGCACTTCTTGTCCAGCAAGAAGGAACGATCACAAAATCAAGAATCCTTCTCAATCACAATTTATTGGAGCACTCGATTGAAAAGGGGAATGGGGAAAAGGGATGATGAGAGAGAGCAAAAAACCCAAAGGCAGCTGCTTTTCTAGGGTAAGAGGCTCGAATGCTGATTGGTTGATGCCATTCTGCTAGGGCCCAAGGCCACAGGACAGGTCAGGGAACCAAGTCTCTGAAATGCAAAACAAGGCCCCAAGCACACTGGCCTGCGCAGCAGCATCAAAGGATTTGCCTACCTCCAGGCTGTAGGACCGCTGGCACTATCTCGCCAAGGCGACATCCTGGTGGCTCCTTACATAAGTCTACGTTCAAGCCAGACGGTGGTGGCACATACCTTTAATCCCAGCACTCGGGAGGCAGAGGCAGGAGGATCTCTGTGAGTTCAAGGCAGCCTGGTCTTCAGAGTGAGTTCCAGGATGGCCAGGACTGCTACAGAGAGAATGCCTGTGTCGAATGCTCCTTGCAAAAAAAAAAAAAAAAAAAAAAAAGTACGTCACATGCAGATGGACATATTACCCATATTACCAAACAGAAGAGACTATAAGTGCGGGTAAAAGTCAAGTCATGGAAAGTGTCTTGGCCAGGACTGCACGGGGCACAAAGCTTTCTGTGGATTCCCCACACTAAGGTTCCTATGCACCTTGACACCACAGACTGGTGCCTGGCTTCCCAGAATGGCGACCTTCCCACTGCTGCCGGCCACCTCCTTTGTTGGCATCGACTATTAAAACACCTTAGGTTTAAGCTCATGACAAGGTAACCGAGCTCGGGGAGGAGGCCAGGAACCCTGCTCCTCACCTTCCTCTTGGCTTACCTAGCAGTCACCAGGGTCCTGTTCCTGTACATGGCTCAAAGCAATCTCCTCACTCCCTGGGCGGGGCTGCTGCTGGAGAGCTGCCCCTGCTCCTTCAGGCCATGTTACATGGAAATAAAACACCAGCCTGTTCAGGGGCTGCCCAGCACATTATGAGGAGGAAGCTATAAAAGCTGCCAACATGGGTTACTTTAAGCGTTTTCCTCCTCAGACACACAGGGAGTGAGGTGCTGCCTTCTACTCCCCGCCCTCCTACCCCCCAAAAGGCTCTCTGTGTCCTGCCTGTGTTTACTGACATCCCAGAC